AAAGGTGAAACCCAAAGGTACTGAACCCCAGCAAAGGTGAAACCCAAAGGTACTGAACCCCAGCAAAGGTGAAACGGAGCTGGAGAAGTGTGGCAAGGGCCCGCAGAGCCTGGCAGGGGAGAGCAGAGCAGCTGGCCCACGTGTACCTGGCCCGGGTGTCCTGCTAGGACACAGGCGGGCGACCCCTCAGAAGAGCGGCAATGAAACGTGGAAGTTGCCCGTGCAAAATGCAGTCAACACCTTCGCCGAGAGCAGGGACCCTGCCAGCCATCTCCTGCACGTGCAACCGCGGAGCACCGACCTCCAGGAATCCTCAGGGCAACAAGAAGAGAGGACGGCTCCGTGCAGGGCGGCCTCGTCCTCTGAGCCATCAAGATGCGCTGCCGGCACAGGGTGCAGGGGACACAGCACATCAGACCACGCTGGCACAGGGCACTGAACTATTACTAGCACTTTCCACATCAATATCAGTGTTTTTCTCATGATTTTAGCAAGGAACAGCTTCCATCCTGAGATTTGGACACATAGGTGTTAGACACAGGAAAAATCTTCTAAATTATCAAGTGCTGCACTCCAGCAGAGTAGGAAACAGCCTCCAAGCACTGCTGTAAAAGGGTGGAGGCATGATCAGAGCCCCGTCCCTTCAAGCCACATCTGCCAGGAGATTCTCCACACCTAGGCAAGACCTTTCATGGAGGTCGTGGCACTAAGCATATGGTTTCAGGATTGAGTTTCCCCCCCCGTTTATCCTACACTGCTGCCTGCTAGCAGTTGGTGCCTGCAAGCTGAGACCTGTAACAATCAGTGATAAGAGAAGCCTTCCATTATACCTTATGCAGTCATGTTGTACCCAGTTGTATATACTCAGAAGTCTCAAAGAGGGGAATATTAAGAAATTCTTTTACCAAACAATGTATTTAACCAGGCTTGAGTGATTAAAATGTACAGAGAAGATATCCTAACCTTGAGAATAGATACATCCTGGCTGAAATGCTCAGACAAGGTGAATAAGTACAAACAGCTTGGCCGGACAACAGAGTTGGGAAACATCCAAGGAGAAGAAATTGTTCTCAAAAGACTCATGACCATAAAAAGGGAAAAAGGAGTATGGGGCTAACTCCCCAAACGACCACCGGTGACCGCCTGAGACCCCCGTGCACGTGTAGCGTAGTTTTGCTACGCCAGCTTTATGTAAATGCAGTAGATAGGCAGAAAGGTGGAGACTTCTTGGAAACTGTATGAATATTCGTGTATTTAAGGTACATAAACTTTTGTTTTAGTGTGTGAACGTTAGGTGGGATGATGCCCCCGTGCATCCAGCACTGCAATAAAGAGTGACTGACTTTGAAAACTCCACAACGAGTCTTAGAGAGCTCCTCTGCCAGCTTTTCCGGTGACACCAGCAGAATGTACTGAGGAGCTGGAAGCTACACCCATTCATCCCAGTCCTCACTGCCACCCACCAGCAGCTCTGCAACATCAGATACCACACAAGGACACAAGGCTCAAGCTCCTGGTCCCTCTTCTTTCAGTGTGACAGACCATTTTTGAGAGAGACGGGTCTCCACTGTACAAGAGATGAAACCAGGGCAAGCATCTTATTCCCTTGTTCCCTCATACAGATTTGTTTCCTGGGAAAATAAGGAGAAGACGATGGAAGTTGTTTCCCCTGTGCATGTTCCTTTTTCCCTCTGTCAGCATTTCCCTTAATTAGAAGATCTGATGCAATCCCACAAAAGCCAGCTAGTTTAAAAACTACATTAGGACTAGGAGTGTGTTTTAATCACCACCTTGTCTGACCTGACAGGTTTTGAATACGTCCTCCTTCTGGCTTCATTTTCAAACAGTGAAAAAATATTTCCTATATAAGAGGAAGGGGTTTTTTGTATTTCAACGAGACAGTTAAAAATCTCACTCATTCATCATCATGGTCCCACTTTCAATTTTGCCTTCCTAGAAATCATTTTGGGACAGGAAAGACAGATTGTATCTCAAGCCATGACATTTCAGCAAAATGCCATCACTTCTCATCACAAAATGATGGTGTTTTGCCCCATATCATCAAGTCATATATTGAGAAGATTTTTTTCCCCTCTCTCGGGTTAGCATTGCAGAAAAAATTTAAGCATAGCGATCTACAAAATACCTGACTAGACTCAGCCTAACACCGATCCAAAAATGGGACAACACTTGCACAAACATGTGTAAAACTTACACAAAACCCCCCTAACTTAGACTTATGTGGTTATCAAAATCCGCTTCTACTTGATAGTACAAGGATTGGGGAAAGAAGTAGTATCTCTCAAGCAACATTCAGCTCTAGCATAAAGGGATGTAACACCTATTAAAGCGGAGTTGTGTCCACTTCCCTACGGGAAGGCATTTGATCTCATTATTATGCAATACATAGGAACCAGATGTGTGGAAGGAGCTGTTACGCCTGGAATATTTAACCTCAACTCTAAATATACATCCTGACTTCAAACTGTTCCAAGTCACTACTTCGAGAAAGACTTTCTTCAGAATGAAGCTAATTTTCAAAATCAGATACTTTTTGAGGATAAAAAGGGAGGTATTTGACATCTGATTTTCAGAGCTGCGGAGCCTTTCCACAGGTTCCCATTGACTTCCCCCGGAGTTACAAAGGTGTCTGGAGAAGGACTTGCAGACTATACTTGTTTCCATGCCAACAACCACAAAAAAGGGTTATTTCAGATACAGAGTAGCTAATTTTCAAACGACAAAACTATCTGCCATTTAAATTATGTTTGCTTCTCCTAAGCGGCTAAGGGGGGGGCTTAATCCATATTGTGGAGTAAATACCTGCAATATTTTATTATTAAAATTTAAGCCATTTTGGAATTACGGAAACACGAGAAAGGGGCTTTGTGTTTATGCCTGTAGACCTGACACAGGCAAACTTTCCAATAGAATCTGAGGTAGTTTTACCTGAGCGCATCCCGGTGTCTTAAGAACCTGTTGGCCAGGGACGTGATGCCAGCCCTGCCAGAACAGAGGAATAAAAAATGGCAATGAGATAAGCACAGAGAATTTTAGTCATACCGCTGTGCAAGCAGGAGCCAGGAGGGAGCAAGAGTCCTGACAATGCACATCTCATTCTGGCAAAACTCTCATTGACTTCAGCAAAAACTTTGCCTAAGGAGGGGCGGCAAATTTCACACCTCATAATGAAATTCATCTGCTCGGTACAAAGGGCCAATTCATCACATCAGAGCAGAGATTCCTCCCTGTGCGATAGCATGCTGTTAGCCTCTTCCTGAGGCAAGAAGCTGAGGGAAGCTGGAAAATAGCACTAGGTAGGATTCTGCTCCTCGGTTCATCCCACAAATTACTCGGAGGTGACCCTACCACAGCAGCAAAGTATTCCCCAAAACTCAGGCCTCAGCTACGTACCAAGTGCACTCTGGCCCTGGGAACCCAAACCTCTTCCTTGCTGCGCTAGCTCAGGCACACTGAAAAACAGAAAGTGGCAACTAGGTTAATCTCTTAATTTCAAAAAGTTTTTTTAGCATACCAATATCATATTTGGGAGAGAGAGAAGAATTTGATTTTATCAGAAAAGTTCTATCAGTACAACCCTTAAAAGGATGCAGCTATACCATCATGACATGTGCTTTATCTTAGCATAGCTCAGAGAAGTTATATGGCTTCAATTACATTGGTAGAGTCAGTGGAGTAAAACCCTTAAGTACCCAGGGCTCATTTTTGATCTAAAATGGAAATGAATTGTCTTAAAGGCGATTTTGTGGGCCCTCGGCAGACATGATTTTAACTAGCATGTGGGTCATAGGTACGAAGAACACAGGACTGCAGAAATCTCTGTTCAAGCCTTTGCATCATTTGTTCTTTGTTTCGGGCAGGAAAATCCTGAGCAACCAACTCATTTTTTTTAATACCAGAAAAATGCTGGGATGCAGCTCTCACTGGGAGAAAAAAAATGGCAGCACTCAGAGCCCTCATGAGCAATTGTTCATTGAGAAACTCTGCCAGGAATTATAACTTGGGGGGGTGGTGGTGGAGGGGAGAATGTGGAGCAGAAGAGGTCCAAGACGATGTGAGAAAATTATCTCTTTTTAAAAAGAGAGATGGGAAGAAAATAGTTGCTCCCTGGAAGAGTTCTGAATGCCAAGTTTCAGCAGTTTTCAGTGCCACATTATAAACCCCTGAAAAACGAGATTTAAGGCTTCTTATCAATTAGATGGACTACCCTTTGTGCTCATAGTTTTTACAGAATTGCAAATGCTTCTAACTCTCCTCTTCTCCTAGAGTCAGGGGGGGAAAAAAAGCCCTGAGGAAAAAGCTAAGTTCCTTTCAGGGACGAGCTGTTCATTCTTGAGGCAGAAAGCCTGGAGGGCTCTGTGCAGACCCTAAATAAAATGACAGTGGTGGCCCCACAAATTTGTTCCTCGGGTTAGCGCTCTAACTGACCCTTTCCCATTCATCATACCAATTCAGTCACTCATCGTGAATGACACAGCACGACACCACATGAATTATCTCTGACCTTCAGGAGGAGTGGCTGCTCCAGATCAGGTTGGGGTCATGAGGAGGGCAGGAGGGAGAAGTTGGCCTATTAGACCTGGGGATTAGCAGAATGCTTCAGCCTCCAGAATAAAATGGTGAAGTGTTCACGGCATGAACCTGCCCTCATGGCCCAAGCAACAGTCCTATAATCTCAGCCATCAAGCCCAGGAGTGTTGGGTGAGGTAGCGATATCTCGAAGATCATGAGAAGCCCATGTGAACTGCTTTAGGCAAATCAACTATGGACACAGCAAAAATGCCGGTGCCCTGCTCCAGGCTGATTGCACCACAGAAGCCACAACCAGGATGGGTGACTGGGACCTGGGCAATCCTGGTGTCTGCTGCAGGTTGGCTTGCTCCAGCGCCAAGGAGCTAACAGACTGTTGGCGTTTCTGTGAGAAGCACAAATTATTGGGCGTGTACTATTTGTCTGAAAGCTGTGCTTTGCTTCTCGTAGAAGGATGGAAGATTTGCCCCTAGATCACATCAGTGCTCCACGGAGTTCAGCATTCCTCCTGCCTTCTGCAGCCAACAGTGCTTGGTACTCCAAAGAAAGGTCAAGTCTTAGGACTCGTTTATTTTTGAGCCCAATCCTGACATTCCTACATTCAAAATTTAGGTGCTTTTTCTGTGTGTTGAATAATCAGATCTCATCTATACAATATTATAATCTAAATGTCCTTAGATACTTTTAGCCATAGAGAATGCCTTAACACAGTTTAGTTCAAGCCATCTTTCACACACAAAAGCTGTGTGATCAAATATGCAAAAATAAATCTACTCCTTTCAGATGCTCCTTATCTCATTCAATGCCCTAAATTTTCAGCGTTATATAGAAATGTTTAACATTAAGTAAATGAACCATCCCACTGAATTCATTAATACTTCAAGTCTAGCAAACACTTGTTGTTTACAAACAACTCCACCCAGATGAGTCTACAAATCTCGGTTTGGGTAATCTCTGAGTAAAATTACCCATAATGCAATACTAGTAGCAGGATCAGGGCCTAATGATTTAATCCAGTTAAGAATTGTTAACTACTGGTGCTAATGAATACAACGGGGCCATTCGTGTATGGAAGTGTTAGGTGGATTGAGATTTAGAAATAAAATTGGGAGAGTGATTTTTCTGTAATACCAATTAAAATGAAACAATTAATCTAATAAATTCTTGATGCAGACAAGCAAGAAATTAAAAGGGTTGCAGTCCCTTTAACATAGTGGACTAATCATGTATTTCATTTGCTCAACATTAATTCTTGGAAAATCCAAACTTAAAAGTTAATGCTGCTGGTTTTACATCTTTTTAGTGTGTGTGGGTATCTACTGTCCATCAAACCACCACCTCTTGCCAAGTTATTTTTTCATATTTGTCCAAGACCATGGCATCAATAAGAACTGAAATGACACTGCTCTCATGTCATTATCTATAGGGAGATTTCCTTGTCACCAAGAGTAGTCACAAACCCCAGAAAATTCCCTCCAGGAACATCTAACATGGCACGTTTTACCCTGTATTTATCCAGAATATTTACTAAAGCAGTGTTTAAGGAAAGGCATGTTATTCTGCATGGGGCACTAGGGAGGTCTACATCTCCTGCTTCCCCCAAATCAAACAAACCACAGAGCTAGCAGTGAAGTTCTAAATATTTCCATCACTCGGCTGCAGCCTGAGAGGGTGTGAGCGCTCCCCAGGATTTTCATTTCTACTCTACCTTCGTACAGGCAGAAAATGGAAATGAAGGAACTGCTCTATCGTTTTTGCAGGTGATTCAGCTTTCTTTGCTGCATCCTGGCAATTAGTTTGCATTATTACAACTGTAGGAAAAGCTACAGTTGCAAGTCTCTGCTTATGTGAGGTGGGTAGGGAAGCTGAAGGACTCAACACTGGCAGCTGCTCCCCAAGGCACTGTGCCTGGGGCTAGACTCCACTCCAGTCTGGACTAGATTCCCACAGCACCATACAGTGTGTAAAAGGAATTTCAGAGATGGTGCCTCCTCCCTGCCCCTTGCGCACAGAGGCAGCAGAAAAAAAAATTTCCTTGCATCCATCTCCTTCCCTGTGCACCTGTACAGGGTTAAGCATATTCTAACACACTGTCTCATAATGTATTATGCTAGGGCACGACCTCACAGCCAGGGCACCATCATGCAGCTGCTGTCCTAGGAGAATGTCTAGGTACTGATTCCCTGCAGAAGAAGGGAGGCTAGAAGGAAAAAAAAAAAAAGAAAAAAAAAAGAAAACAAGAAAACAACACAGAAATATGCCAGCCTTCTTTACAGGAAAGAGATGAGCACGTAGATTCCTCACCAGTAATTCCATTAGAGATTATTAAATCTATTACCCCTAAAATAAGGTCTTTGGCTTTTTTTTTTTTTTCCCCCCAGTCTGTCCCTCCTTTGCCTGTTTCCTCTAGGCAGCCACCAGCACCAAGGTTCTTTATACATTATCTTTTTTTTCATTATCTTTTTTTTTTTTTTTTCTGGCAGAGCATATTCTCAAAAGAAAGCAAATTCCCAAGTTTCTGTTCTGTTGGCTGTAAGCACCAGAGCATGAACTGATCATACAGGGATCAGGATGAAACTCTGTATTTCTTGTATATAGTAATAAACATTCGACTGGGTGCAGAATATGACAGGAGAGATTATGAATTGGTGTTATGACTGCAAACAGGAGACAAGTTTTGTTAGATTACATCTGTAATCCTTTAGCATAGGAGAGAGAAGTCACTATCAGGAAAAGGAGAGACATTACCCATCACCTGGCACAGAATAACACACCCTGACTGAGGCATCCCTAATGAATTTGGTCTCCCATCCTCCTTCACTCTCTCTTGAGTTTGCCACTGTTAGTTTTGCATTTTCTGCACCATTATATCCAACAGTGGTGCTTACACAGATAGAAATCCCCTCTCAATTAAAAGGGATTTTGTCTGTGAGTACTTGCTCACAGTATGCTGCTGCTATCACCTTCTTCCTCAGGTTCTGTCGTGGGAGAACAGCTTTGAGTGGGTGAAGGTGGACACCATGCTCTGAAAAGAAACCAGTCAGTAGGAGCTCTGTTCTGCTTAACACTCATGCCACAGCCAAGAGCTATCCACTACAACATCACGAACAGGTAATTCTGCGAACTGTTAGTTTCAGCTTTACCATCTGCCCCTCCGACAGCCAAACTTCAACTCACGAGGAGATTAAGAGTTATCCCATATGTTGAGGGATATCGGATCAGTTTAAGGTGTGATTTTAAGCAACTGAAAAAGGTTTCCCATTTTGAACCAGACTTTTTTTCAGTTTAATTTATATCAGAGTTTCAAATTAAACTGAAAAAAGAAGGTGGCACACATTCACTTTCCAAATGGACTTTGTCTAATTCATCTAATCACTGACCCAGTCGCAAAGCAGTAGAACATGTGCACAACTCAGCTGGGTCAGTGTAAAATCCAGTGGTTTAGCATAAACTGTCAGTGAAAACCAGCGCATCTCTGCTGATGGACATAAAATGACAGCTTATCAGCTTCTCAAATAAAGATTTCTTCTCCTTCCATAATTATTCTTGTTAGTGGTTACAGACACCCTTTCTTCTACTTCACATAGTGTGAATTAATATAAAAAAAAATCAAGTCACATCAGCTAAAAACCCTGCGGTAAGATCTCAGCCCACAGCAAGAACAGCTAACCATCCACAGACCCGTGTGTTCCAGGAATGCACAGCTCAACCCTTCATACTCTTTTGGACCTGAGGATAATAGGAACTGGAACCAGTAACCCAGATAGGTATTGTTTCTCTTTTCCCTTATTGCTGTCCTACCCTCCTTTACGCCAACGATTAGGCGTACCCAAAAAGCTCACCTGATAGTCTGTAAATTGGAGAAGAGGTTCCCCCACTACCCTGGGCATGCTTTTTGCTCCTTTTAATTGTATGTATTCAAACTTTTTTATATATATATAAAAAAATAGAGTGTTATAAGGAACATTATCTCTTCTGCAGGGCTCCTTTGTAGATCCTTGGCTGTGGATATTCAACCTGTGAATCCTTTAGTCCTTAGCACACAACTGGGGACGAAAGAAGTTGGTAAATGATATGGCATCTGTCTGATAGAGACACTTCATCCACTTTCTGCTACACTGAGCTTGTTGCTCTTTCCAACATGACAGAGAAAAAGTGAGAGTACAAGGAGTAGAGAGAAAACAAAGAGAGACAACTGCCACATCTCCAGCTTGGCTCCAGAAGGGGAATCAGCTGAGCAGAAGGCCTCCTCCTCCAAGGAAACGTGGTAACTGAATTTCATCCTCTCCCCCTCCTCAAGATGGATGGTTTTAATGGCTCATGCTGAAAGAGCAAGTAAGAAAATCTTTTAATCAATTAAGATGAGAAAGGGGATGGTGAGTGCCAGCAGGCCAGACATTACCTGTCTCTAGTCTCTGAGAACTCTACCGTAGCTGGGATCTATTCATTCATCCGGGGTAGACTGTCCTCAAGAGCCACAATCAAACTCTCCAGTTTGTTGGCTATTCAGATTACTTCCCAACCCTTCTCCAAAAGTTCCATAAAGTTTACAGTTCAAACCTGATCTTTTAATTGGGATACGCTTGATTTTAGTGTCTTATAATGCTTTTCCCACACTTCCTTTCTCAATGCTGTTATCTGCGGGAAGAAAACTCCAACAACAGATTTACAGGGAAAATAAAAAAATATAATCAAATGGGTTCTATCTCCCCAGCTCCGCTCTTTTTGAACAGCATAAAGATTATCTTGTAGACACCTGAGATAATGTGGTCAGTGTGTTATAATGAGTTTTTTTCCTCAGCTGCTATGTTATGAGAAAAACAGCAGACACTCTTGTCTTTTTAACATTACAATAGGTATCAAAGGAGTGCCCTGGGAAGGCAGGTGACCTGCAGAATGATTTCTGTATTAGAGTTTAGTCTACACAGTGAAAAGATTGAGTAGCTCTGTCATACGGATAGATCAAAAATAGCAGACCTGCTTCCAGGCACTGCTGAGGTTGTCATAATGCACCCTGCTTCTTCCATGCTTGGAAAGTAGTTTTGAAGATACTTTGTGATGCTACAGCAGCGCTTCTGTGGGACTTCACAATATGAGGTGGCTTAGTAAATTTGGAGAGAGAGCAAGAATAAAATTGCTGACCTTTAAACACACACTACATGTCAGGAAGGCTTTGACTCACAGTAACCAACGTGTCTACTCCTGGCTAGACGTGAGGAACACAAAGGATCATGGAAAAACCAGCTGCATGATGATAAAAGAATCATTTGCTACGAGGTCTATCAAGAGTAAGGCCAACCTTGCCTCCTTTTGTACACACCATCCTCCTCATAAGAAAGACTACAAGTTGAACATTCCCATAGCTGCTACAAAATAAAGGAGAGTGGAGCTGGGGATCCATAACTGGGGTTAAATGCTGAACTCATCAAGGACATAGCAAGGATACACCATCCCCATCACGTTTATAAAGGAGGAGAGAGGCAATGCAGGAAGAGAGGAAGGGGACAAGGAAGCAAATAAATAAGGACAATGCACAATTTATGAAGACAAGAAGGTACTAAGTGCTACTCACCCAGAGTGTAAATTGGTATTGATGTCACAACACAGCCCAGCCAAAAAATAATGATGATGATAATTTAGGGCTTGCACTATATCTCACTCAAGCCACCGTCCTATCCAACAGCAACTCTCACCCTGCTGCTTTCTTCCCCTTCTCTATTCATTGGTGTCCTCCTAAATCAAATACACTCAATGTTGATTTGATTATATTTCCTTATTTTATTTATCATCCATCGCTCACTCTTCTACTCTTCTCACAAGTTCTCAGTGGGCACCTCAGTCATTTTCTAGTTCCTGGCAGTACGCAGAGGAACAAGCCTGTCTTTAGGCCACAGGAATTAGAATCCTTGTGCCGGTAAGGATTCATGCATCCTTTCCCAGCACTCATCTGTCATCCTTTAATCTCGCCTATTTTATGCTCCAGATCCTGGCTACCCAGTCCCGACTTCCCAGGTTTATAGCCCTGACTTACTTCCCTCCTGTAACATTTTACTGCTTGGTTATCGGCCCTTTGGGGCCTCATTTACACAAGTGCTGTTTTCGCTATAGTTAAGACTAATTCACTGGGTTACAGTTTGCTCTTACATCCTACATTCTGTTCAGTTCCCTGTCTCCTCTCTCCTGCAGGGAGGCAAAGGGTTTTCTAATGCACAGGAGATTTTTTTTATTTTTTTTTTTTTTTTTTGTAAATTATGGTTATTAATCCCCTTTTGGGTGTTTAAAAGCATGAACTAAACTCTCTCCCCCCTGTACAACATGATTCTGCCTACTTCTCTTTGATGCACATGTGCCCACTGAGCCCTTCACGAGGTCTGAGGGACCCTGAGAAGGGGACTTCACCTGGGATATGCTCTCCTCACGCAGTGTGATGTTTTAGAGGAATGGCAGACCACAGTCCTGAGAAAGCCCTGGGAGCCAGATACATCCCCTATTTGTTCCTCGGGTCCAGCTGACAGTATTCCAGTATTTTGCTCCTAGAATGTACATGTGTTTTCTTTCTTTTTTTTTTTTTTTTAATTTATTTTCATTTTCTCATTAGGGAAGGAAATACTTTCCTTGTCATTTCTGTTCATTTCTTCCCTAAAGCTTTATACAGTTACTCTATGACCATTAGATTTCTACCTTTCTAATATACACGCATGTACAGATACAGGTAAGCATACACACACAGATAATATATATCGGTGTGAGTATATGGCTCATTTCAATAAATCTCCCTAAACAAGGCTCATTTTCCAGTGTTGCTTGCTTTCACAGTTCCAACTCCAGCTGGGTCTGCGATTTATTTTGTTTATGGACCGGTTTTTATATAAAAGCACAGCACAATCAATGCCCTTCTCTACACTGACTAAGCCAAAACCACAGAATTGCCTACAGAAAGACACGAGGATGCAGTCAGAGGCCACCTGGTCAACCCATGTGTTTCCCCCAGAGCTGTATCGGATACACCCAAACCAGAGAGGACGGGGGGGACTACGGAGAACAGGTCAGTGTGACCCATGGAAGCTGCACAGCGTGACCTGGCTGGGGTTATATACCCAACAAGACTTGATGAGACTGCCCAAGCAAATGAAAGAAAAACTCAAAATCTGAGTCACATTAGAACCTCCCACACGCCAGGATCAAGAGCCTGTTGAATTGTGTTTCGGTAAACTATTTATCATGAGCTTAATTCCAAATAGCACCATAACAATATCAATTACATGAAAAATGAAACATCAATTTGTAAAGAATACTGTCTTTTGCTGTTCTCTGTTACTTTTACAGGATCAAAAGCTTATTGTCAACACTTATTAGATTTCCCAACCTACTGCAAGAGATAAATAGATATTATCCCTATTTTTTGATAGATAAATTGTGGCACAAAGACATTAAATGAGTTGCTTAAGGTCATACAATGAACAGTTTAGGAACTGGATCACTGGACTTATTCTTTTCTTCTAATTTCTGTGTTTCTAAACAGCAAACCCTCCAGGAGTTTGGCACACACTTGCAAATGATTTTCCAAAACTACCGATACTGGCATAACTCCATTCCTTTAGAAGCCAGTATGCTGTGAACAGAATTAGACCAGCTTATTATCTTAAATTGCAACAAAGCTAAAGCAGCATCAACTGGAGTTCAAAATCTCACCCAAATGCAGAATCAATACATCTCCAGAGAAAGTGCCAATAAGAAAAACCAAAGTGCTACCTTGCAGCAGGCACATATATGTTTACATGCGCCTCAAGATGTGTGTGATTATGTTCAGGTTTTGTTCTTCATGATCCTTCCTCTTTCTCCAAGTGCCTGGCATCCCCTTTTCCACCCTCAGAGATGTGCTGTGTGCTGCAATGTTTTCACTTGATGGTTGATGGAGTTCCCCTACATGGAGGTGGAAGGAAAAAAAAGAAAAAAAAAAAGAAAAAAAAAAAAAAATCACAGCTCTGTTGCCGCACATGTCTCCTTCTTGGCCTGGCATGACAACCCCAGCACCCTTGCCAGGAACACTTTTTGAGAGATAAGGGTGTGAGTGCTGCAGGATCCCCCTCAGGCCCAGCTGCCAGCTGGTACAGGCAGTAAAGAAACAACGCATTATAAATTCCTGCAAACCTCACTTGTTTCAAGCCACAGATATCACATCTAATGCATTCAGCAGTTAAAAATGAAGGAATCTGAAACTTGACACGTTTCTATTCAGTGGGCAGAAGTACAGCTCCAGACTCCTTCATCAGAACCCTGTCGGGTGGTCTAGCAGCAGCTACCTGTGGGGTTTGGAGGCTGAGATCTTAGCTCCAAAGTAGGCTCATCCTACATAATACTGGTCTCAGGAAGAACCATGCCCTGCCACCCAACCCTGCATTGACAAGGGGCTGATGCAGACATACATATATCACCCCACAAGGGGCTATGTCCTCAGTCAGCACCCAAACCTGAATGTTTCCACAGATTACTGTTGAAAAGGTGTCATATACTCCACCATTCCTCTAAGTATTAAATACTGCATTGTTCATTGGACAACACTGTAGAGACTTGGATTGGTAAAACTGACTATTCCTTCCTCAGTGAGCTCAGCTCACTGACTCCAACAGACCTATTTATATGAACAATAATTACTTCTCTGAAGAAGGGATTAAATCTCCAGCTATTAGACGCTAAAGTAAAAGCCCAAATGACAGACACTAATCTCTTCAGGGTATAAAAGTAGTTTTCAGATGGTACATTAACCGGCTGTGTAGTTTTTATCCAGAGAGTCCCTGTTCCATAATCAGAATGTGTATGCCCTGTGTACCACCAGATCCCAGACCAACATCTGTAGTGCATGCATTAGCAGCAGTTTACCGCTGCGCTTCTCCGTGCAAATTCCGTCGTTGGCAGCATTCCCTAATTCCTTCCAATTCATGTGGAGCAGAAGGGGGGAGCGCAGTAGATTCCTGAACGTGCATGCAGTGCTTGCTTTGGAGAAGACATGTGATACGCTTAATTTTCTGAAACGTGTATTCAGACACAGGGGAGAGTTGGTCAGCGTTTAAGGTGGCTAGGAACTGCCTCCAGCATGAAGACTCTAGGGAGGTCTGGAGACAAGTGTTCTAGGGACAGTGTACACATTGGAGAGGACATCCCAGGTGGTTTTCAGGGCTACAGTTATAGACGTGTGGACTTAGAGGGGGTGAAAAACAATCTTCTGCAAGCTTAGCAATCTTTTATGTCAACCCATTTGTTTGGAAGGAAAAGGACCCAATGTTCCATTTCTAAAGAGAGTCTGAATCTCAAGTGAGAAAGAGGTGTTGCATACCTCACTTCTGCTGATGATCCCATCCAGCATCAGCAGTGTAGAGGAGCTTTGCTTTTTCTTGCGCTCCAGGCAGGAGTTTTCATTCACTATGTTCAGTGAACCTAGAATAATAAAGGGAAAACTTAAATAAAAAGTTCCGCCTCAAAGGCAGGTGCTGAAAAGCAGTTACTAAATGGGAAAATGGGCAAAGGTGCTCCCACATTTCCCACATAATCCCACTTCCAGCTAGGGCAACAAGGCCTCAACTGGAATGTCACAGCAAAATGAATGCTAAGGCACTCCTTCCTCTGCAGTATGTGAGAGGAGAGGATGACAAGAGGCTGAAAGTGCAAAGGGATGCAAAACACAGAGACCTTAGTTGGAAAACTGAAAGCAGCAATTGAAAATTTAAAGTGAGGGAGAACTGAACTCTGGGTTGGCATTGCTGGAGTAATTCTTCTCACCACCACTATGTGACTATCCCAATAAACCACTTGAATAACAGCATGGGGACAAGGAAGAAGGTAAAACACCTTCAATGCTTGTGTATAAACTTGATTTTGCATGTGCATGAAGGCTTATTGAACAAAAATCCAGTTCAGTCTTGAGTCCTACCCAGTGCCCCTGCTTTCCCTTTCCTCACCAAACCTAGTGGGAAAAAAATAAATAAAAAAAGAGAATTGGCTAACTAGTATGGTCTCCCTAGTTTCCTTGGGTTCCTTTGGCTTCTGTTCCCTCATTTTGTAAGAGGGACTGTGTCCAGAAGACTTAATTGGATCTCAGAAGCTCGGCTATCTCCAGAGCAAGTCCTCGGGACAGAAGAGTCTGAACCTCCCACACCACATACCACTGGTGGCTTGAAGTTGCAGAGCTTATAGCTTTGATGGTAATATTCAAGGTGTGTTTTGCAAACTGCTAAGTGGTCACAATCTCATGAACTTCCAACAGTTGTTGCTGTTCCTCCAGTTTCTAAGTAGATGATGATGGGTGGAATGAAAGTAGCAGGAGACCCACACAGGAAGGGGTGAAAGGAAGGAAAGGAGAATCAAGAGAAGCCATTCCTTCTCAGAAACTCTTCTTTTACCCTTTCTGTATCAGCAGAACTGCCTCACCTCTCTACTAACATACCATAATATGGCAGCAAGCTGAACCAAAGGCTGCTTTTTTTCCATGAAACATAGACCCAGGGCTGGAGACAGCATGGGCCAGAATTTAGGGTAGATCTGCTCCAAGACTCATCCTCCTAGCAACTCATGTTTCCCCAATGCTGTTATCAGAAATAAAATTATAAAACCCAGCTCTTCCTTCATCATGGCTTGATAAATTCTCATCCAAAGGTCCTGGAAACTGGTATAAAGACTCCTACTGACTACAGTAAGATGAAGGCCACTCCAGCCTTTCTTCCAGAGGATCTGAAGTCTGGCAGTCATGCCCTAATCTGAAATGTTCTCTGATCATTCCATTCTCTAGTAACTAATAACCCTGACACCAAAATTTTGCCATTTTTCCCAACCAACCTGAGTGGTATTTACTCACATTGCACATACTCCAAGGGGTTAAAGCATCCATTTTGTTCTGGACACATTCTGTATGACTCAGTTTCTAAAGCACTAAATTGTAAACCATAAACCCATGTCATTATTTACTTTCTTAAAGATAACATGGAGCCAGCTTCTCCCCATGTCTCTCTCCCTTTTTGCTGCCTTTTGGAGGCATTGTGACTGCTGCACGGCTCAGTAATTCCCAAGTCAGTGCATATATAGAAAATCCCTGTCAAACAATGGCTCAGGAGAGGGAAGGAGGGAAGCTCTGTTCGCCACCAGACTTGGTTCTTCCATGGCTCCCCCCTTCCCCATACCCAGGCTATTCTGTGGCCATCCTCCCTGCCTCCTTGCCCTGTGGACAGGCCAGCAGAAGTGCTCACGCTCCAAACCCATTTGGGGGGAAAGGAAAGGGGGAGCAGCGTGCAGCAGAGGGAGTGGGGAGGGGGTCACAGGGGAACAGAATGAACTTGTTCTCAGAGAAGCATGGCGTCCAGACTGGCGGCTTTCTTTTATCCTGTTTCAGTTCAGTAAAAGCCTCAATTAACTCCACATTAATTATTAAATCAGAACAATGCATCTTTGGGTTCCAACAGCTAAATTCTGTTACTGCTGTTTCTTTGGGGAGCTTGGCTAGTTTTACAACTTAGGACATAAATATCTTTCTTCAAGGAGCTCCTGGGCTGTTGTTTTTATTTTTCTCTCTGTGGGAGCGTTTTTAATCACGGTATCTCATGTATGCATGGAGGCAAGCATTTCTGGGCCTGCTGCACCTTGAAAACTTTTCACATCTAACACATAGAGCTCCTCCAGGCTCTAACAGGTGCTAGCAACACAGCCATGAGATTTTACCCCCTCAAGAAAGCCCTCAAATTAAGGCTTTCCAGGAAGCTGGAAGCATTTGCACAGCCCCTCTAAAACAGGCTGCTACCTTGTAAAATGGAGTGCTGAGTTTCCAGGTGCACATTATTCTTTAATGCTACAGCTGCTTCCCACCCTTTTCTCCATGAATGACCCTAGGAATTCTACCAAATAAGACCAGTCTAGAAATATTTGCCTTTTTCTCACCCCATTGTTGCCAGACACACACACTTACAGGATGTTCTTCTGTTCTTGGTTGTTCACTGATGTATGTCTTGCTTAGCAGAGGGAAGCATCCCCACACACCCCCTGCTCATACCACCGCTACCCCTCTTCTTGGCACAGGTTAGGAGGAGCCAAAATAGCTGCTCTCTGGGCATTTGACCATGTGCCAAGGGCCCCAAGAGGGAGAGAAGAAAAGGAGATACAAGTTCCATATGGGGCCATTCAAAGCTCCTCTCTTGCTCTTCAACTTTGCACAACACCATGACGTACTAACTCAGTACAATGCTAGAAACCTCTAGGAATCTATCTTAGCTCAGGCCTCTTAAAAATGTTTTTGCCCTCCCAGCCCTAATGTCTTTTACTTCCCCGAGTGTATTTTCAGACTCTTGCCCTTGTAGGTGTGTCTGATCATACTTTCTCCTTTCTTGTCCCAGATTATTTTGGAGACAAATGGCTTTCCTAAAGTCTCCGCCTTCCACCCATGAAGTTGTAGGACTTCCTGAGGAATAAGCAGCTCTAGCACTGTAAAATGCTTTTATTTCTTACATGAATTTAATGTCTTTGGGAAAGAGCCAACCTGATAGAATTGAATGCAAAGGCTTTATAGCCTCAAAACGGGTGCAGCAAAGCCTGGCAGAACATCTGCACATTGTCTGAACTGGAGGGAACAGACACCATGGATCAGAGGGCCTTCATTTCCCAAACAGGTAAGTCTCCAGTTTCATGGACAGAGAAACCCATCTATCTCCTCCCATCCTTTTCTTCCTCCACCAATTCTCTCTCTTTCCCATGTTGTGAGCTTTTGCTGCTCTACTCTTGCGTGCAGAATGAACGAAAGTGATTAGAAGCCCCTTGGGCCACATTCACAGCTGGAAAGGGAAGGAACAACGGCACAGGCATCTCTGTCAGTTGTACAGGGTCCAGAGGCTCTCAAGCACCTTGTCTCAGCCCGAGAGGAGTGGCAGGGGAAAAGAAAGTGAGGTCACCAGCGACACACTACAACACAGGTCAGAGAGCAGTAAATACAGCAGAAGGGAAGAGAAGGGACTAGAGATACATGAAGGGAGAGATGAAAAGGGAAAAGAGGGTCTCAGCTGAGACCAACTTTCTCATTTACACTGTCTTTCCTCTTTGGCCAAGAGGACAAGGGACTAAGGGTGTTCTCTACTCTTGCTCCTCCCAGACAGCATGAAATCATTGGGCAGAAGGTCATGGTTTTAAATCTGCATTGAGCTGAGTTGGGATACTACATGCAATAAACTGATAAGAAGGGAAGGGAAAAAATGGTGTCTGATATGTACCACCATGGGGAGAGCTTTGGTGCTGGGCACAAAATGAAACTCCTCACTATAATAATAGAAAACTGTGCATTAAAAAACCCCACAAAAAGCCAACCAACAAAAAACCCAAGTAAGCAAGTACAGAAAAATAGACACAAGTAGATAACTAAATTAAACTGGCAGCTCTGAGTAAGTAGCTAGTCAGTCAGCCACCTTTTCTGTCTCCCTTGGCTGCCTGGATTTCTGTTTCTGCTCAGAGTGGGGAAGCTGGCAAAACTTCATGCTTGACCTGCAGTACCACTGACAACATGTGATTTGCTTTGCCTCTGTTGGAAAAGACTGCAATATTTGCTGTAGCAAACTTACTGTCTGTCAGCCCACATGTCCTCGTGTCCTTCAGCGATGCCATTGACCACAACTCTCCAGTTCTTTTGGCAGAAATGACGAGGGGGAGGGAAAACCTACAGCAAATATATTTGTGTTAGAGAAGCTGCTTCTATGTGTCTTTTTTTTAAACAACAAAAAAAATCAGAATGGTCTAGAAGGGGACCAACAGTAAGTATTTTCTTCTAATCTTGCAAATGTTTCAAGATACTCTACACATTGTTGCCTGCATGCAGGACTGGGTGTGAGCTGTGTGTTTGCCATCAGTGCAAGTCACGCTCAGAACCTTTCTGATCCTGCAGATTTCAGGAGTAAGGTTATCCTGGGAGGCTGCTCCCTGGGTGCTGAGGACACAACCCTCTTGCTCAGAAGAAAAAAGTCTCTGCAGCCATATCTTAAGTTTCTAGGAGTACACATCTCAAAGATATGCCTGAAAGACACTACCCAGGGCTCTGGGTCACATAAAAAAGGCAGGCAGACAAGGCGGCACACTGTGGGAAGGATGTCTGGCGACTGTGTGAACTGTGTGGCACAACCACCCACAAAAATGAGGCACTGGACAGTGCTGCATGAAGCATAAATTCAATCCCTTTTTGCTACCCACTCCCCTGTGTATCCTTTTGGAAAGTTCCACATTCTCTGACAGAAATCAAGGCGTCCATCCCTGTGCTGCAGTTCTACATTTGCAAAATCCACCTTTCAAAGAGTTTTTAAGATGTTGGATGAAAGCTGCTATTACACCCTACAGTTAATTAGGTAATCACTATTATTTATTATTGTGGCAGTTTCTGGAGAAGTCGCATGAAAGCAGAATAGTAAGCTTGACCTTATGTCCTCACATCTCAGACTAATTCAATATTCTTTATCAGACATACCTTCGCAAAGTTCCTTAGAGTAGGGGGCTCATTTGTTCTGCAGGAAGTTTGCAACACTTCAAAATGCTACAAAAATAATTAATAAAATTATCATTATCCATCATGATAAATACCAGCAAACTGCCTGCCTATAGACAGCAAAATCCATATATTATTGCCAATTTGGAAGGGATTACCAGTGTCAAGTAGAAAAGTGTCTCTAGAATGTTTAACTATGGCTTATTCTAATGCCCACCTCCATTTGCATTTATGGAAGACACATGGAATAGAATTCAGAAATGTACACAGTTAAATAACATAGACAAATAGAACAAAAATTAAGGGCAAAGACAAAGAAGCAGCCTGTTGATGCTTGTCTGCTTGAGAGAAGTCCACATGTTCACCCCTGAAAGTGGAAAATGTCCAATATAGAGCCCCATGATACTCCTGCTTACACTAGATTTATGTCAATGGAAATCCTCTGACACCAGCTGAATTGCTCTTCCACACCAGCATGACAGCAGAATCAGGGCCAGGTTCTCTGCAGGGGAAAAGAAAAAAGAAACAATCTGAACAATTTTCATTTGTATCTGTGCCTCCTACTCTGCCCCATTTAAAGCAAGGCAGCATGGAACTATTTCTCCTTTCTTCTGGCAGGGTCTAATAAGAGCAGTGAGAAGTGTTCACAGCTACATCCTTCATCTGAGCATCTCCTAGCACAGACATTTCTCCATCAAACATCACCCCGTTCATTCCTGCAAGGCATATATGGATGTCTATCCCCACTCTACAGGTGCACAAACTGAGGCTCGTGGGGTGTTGGTAGAGAAGCTGGGAATACAGTCAAGAAACCTTAATTTCATATGCCCTTGGTAGAACTTGCAGATGGTGTTTGTTTTTACACCAGATAACCCACTGTTTGCTAAGCAGAGATACGCTTTGCTGCCAAGTGTGAAAATCAGCGTGCAACTGTAGCATCAAGGCATAAAACTACTGTCCCTAAGGCCAGTCAGGTTGGTCATTCCGATTCATGGGTTTACAGAAACAATCCCGTCATCTTATTTTAGCAGCGCCCAAGCACAAAAGGGAGGAACCTCCCACAGACTGGAGACAACAGGGACACTCACACAGAGGGCCTGATCCAGAACTGCCTGATGACAAAGGAACCATTTCACTGTTCTCTGTACATTTCTATGGGCCTCACCCCCCGGAGAATGCCAGCAAGATGCTAGTAGAAGCTACCAGAAATGGTCCCGTGGGAGTAAGTAAAAGGTCCTGCCATCTTATCCTGGTCCAGGAATCCCCTTTCACATGATTAATTATTTGTAGTGTTAAGCAAACATGAGTGCTTTTAGTGCAGACCGAAGAAGGGCTGCTCCTAATCAAAAGCAGCCAGCTTGTTTATTTCTATTTTTTTCCCCCCATTGTCTATTTTGGTGTTTATAAGAACCAAAGTTGGGAGCTGTGTGGCTGTGGCCTCCTCACAGCAGCTGGCTTGCTTGTAAAGCCTCCACATCAGCCAGAAACACATACCAGCTATATGGTTCATGGAGCATTCCCAGTGGGAGAAAATACCCTTTGGTGGTAAGGCCAGGCCAACGTCTTTGTGCCTGTGGTGCACAGAGATGATTCCCTGAGCTGGCTCCAAACCGGCCAGCAGAACAGGGATGGCTGTGATGGAATTTCTAGATAAGCAGGCAGACCTGATTATCTAGAAATGTGCAGTGAGAGGCACTGACCACCACTCCAGCCTGGAGCTGGGAACAGTGGCTGCACTTCACCCAGGATCCTCCTTGACAGCTCCCATGCAAAACCCAACAGGTCCTTTTCTTTGGATCCTCCCACCTGACAGAAGAGGGATGGTAAGTCAAAGTCTGCCTGTGAGTTCTCCTGTCCCATGCTGACATGTGCATCGGACAGCAGGACTATCTATGTCGTGTACCCAAGTTAGTAGGAGAAGTGCAGTCGCCAGGCTTCTCCCGAGCGTGCAGCAATCACACGTACACTGTTGACACCCTGGCTTCCAATTTCCAAGTCCCTGCTACCCAAGAAAAGGTACATGTCTCCAAAATAACCACCAGTTTGTTATGCCAAGAACTAGCCTGATTTTCACTGTTCACTTTGGTAATTCTGAGCCTGTCACTAATCAGTGGCCATTTAGCAATTCTGATCACCAAGTTCACCATGTTGGAGAAGTTTCATGGGCTGAAGTTGGTTTCCTTTCGCTGTCTTTTCTTTAATAATAAAAAAATTACATCCCCCCCAAGCCCTTTCAAGCCACAGCAAGAATAACAGACTCCCCCAGCAAAAGAGTGGCCAAGAAGTGCAGCACCTCATAAGGTGTACATACATCAAACCAATAACTCTTGAAGAAATAAATATAATGTAGAAGAGGAAAATGAACTCACTTCTTTAAACATACCAGTAATATAAGCCACGGGCTAAGCAGGAGAGGAAAGAACACTCAACACAAGCTAGGAAGAAGGGGGAAGGAGGCAGAAATGTTACTTTTGCAAGGGATCACGTAACACCAATTACTGATATGGCATCAGGAAAGGGGTGTAACCGCTGTAGAGCAGACCACAGCAGAACAACACTCTGCAGGTTGACAGGAATGCATTTTCCGCTCACCATTAGCAGCAGGGACATCCACCCTTATGTTTTCCCTCCCCAAAGCAGCATAAGTTCTTCCTTTATTTTGGAGAAGCTGCTCTGAGCCCTTCTCCCTACTCCCCTGCAACATGTCCCGACCTCCCGTTTGATTTCCACGTCCTGTAGAGCAGTTCCTGCCCCCACCTCAGCTCCACGGGGAAGGAGGGATAACACCTTTACAAGCAGCAGCCCATCTTAAAACTGAGCTCCTGCCTGTGAGGCAGCAGCTCTCAACAGGTCCCCTCTCATCTGGAACCACTCTTTTCTGTTTAGATCCCAAGAGGATATGCTTAGCCACATGCTAACTCCGAATGTCATACTTAGCTCCCTTTTTTCACTAGCCCCGTGCATTAGCTGGGTGTAGTTGTCCAATTCTACCATACCTACAAAGAGCCGAGATATAAACCTTTAATGGACACTACAGTAAGGGGGGCAAAGCACCACTATACCACGGTATTAGGAGTACTGAGCTATGTAAAGAGCCCCAAGAGAGATCTCTGCATGCTCCCAAATATAAATTTTCCTGTGCTGAGGGACTGCAGAGCCAGACAGGTTAGAGGGGAGAGCTATTAAAACCATCTGAACTTGAGCAATACTGGACAGTTTGTACTTTTTTTCACTTTTTACGGCTGCTTACAGTCCCAACTTTAATATTCTTTTTTTGGCACAGGGCTGATTACATGCCTAATGCCTAAAGAAAAGTGGGAATACTGAAGGATTAGGAATACCTAAATTTATGGCAGGATTAGCTGGAGTTTTATCCTGCCTGACACAGAGAACTAACATGAACAGTCAAGAAGGACATTCCAGCCCCATTATCTCCTACTCCTGCTGTAAAGAATGCAGAAATAAAAGATTGCACAAAAAAAAAAAAAGTCTATGACATGAGATATCCCAGTCTGTTACGAGAAATCAGCATGTTTGTTGAATAACTCCACAATAATTCAAAAAATATTTTATAAAGGAATTGAATAAAAAGTCTAAATCATCTCTTGCTTACATCAGTTTTACATAAAAAAACATTAATGAAAAGAGAACCAAACCCAAAGAAAATATTTGGTCAGATCTCATTCCACTGCCAATGAAATTTGCCACCGAGCTTAATGGAGTAGGACCAACACCAGAAATACCTACATCTTCCATACAGCCATATCATTCAAGGCTCCGCTTGGATGTCGGACGATGAAATTAGCATTTCTGTGACCAGAATGACTGATTCAGGTGCTAATCTAGTGCAGATTTCCTTGGGTGACCTTGGGCATGTTTCAGTTTGCTTTCTCTGAAGCAGGGACGACAGCCCCAAAGACCTTGGACGGCTCTTGGGGAGGCATATTCCCAAGTTTGCCATGGACTCAGAGTGAGTTACTGATGGATCCAGACAGAAACAATGGCCAGATCCTGTAGAAAGCAGAAATAAAACATAAGAAGCATTATGAGCCGATTTTCATGTGGGAACTGTCGGTTCTCAGCGCTGCAGAAAGCCAGCCAGCCAGCCAGCCACACACGCTCTCTCCCTCAAAAGATTTTTAGACCGAGAATTGTATTTTTTGAGTCCTCGTTCCTACACTGGGCTTGACATTTTAAACATATAGATCAGGCGATCCAGCGTAGTGGAGCTCGGGGGTAACAACAGTGATTATTTTTCAGTAGGAAACACACTCGCTCATTTAAATCTCGGGTAATTACATTACAGAAATGCTGCAGAACAAGCCCTCGCCTGCCCCTCCCCGCTCCCTCTCCCCCCTCCAGGCCCATTCCCCTGCCTCTGAGCCGAGGCGGGAGCCCCCACAGCCGCCCCGCCGGGGCGCAGCCTCGGCCCCGCAGCGCTCGGCAGTAAACGCGCTTTGAGCCGCTGGAATCAGAAGTATCCGAGCGGTGCGTTTGGGTCCCAGAAAACTCTTGGGGTTCTTTGTGGCATACAGAAAAGACCCGAGCATCTTGGTGCTGCTTAGTAACCAGCTAACCTGAGGGATCTGGAGCACGGCTTCTCCAGAGGTACCGGCGCCGCCCGTAGCTTGGTACAGAAACAGAGCGAGGGAGCATCCCCGGTGGCTGCGTTCTCCGCCCGCCCTCTTTTCTTTTTAGCAAGCCGCCACAGTTCTTCCTCCATGATAACAGATTGCTGTGGAAATAGGGAAATTCATTCCTCCCTGATAGGTAAGGAGATAAGGTTAATTTGTTGATAACTTCTCATTTTTATTATTCCTCCAAAACTGTTTAAGATGTTTAACAATCTAGCTTTGGAATAAAGAGGGACAGTTTTTGCACCGAGTGTTGATAATGGGTGAAGAATTGTAAGTGTCTCAGTGGAATTGTGTCTGCTCCAACAGGTTAAATTTAAAGTGACAATTACTCCATATTTTCAATACTGGAAATTGAGCTAGTAGTTTCATCGTGAAGATGGTGCATACAAAAAGAATCAGTGCCAGAGGATGTGTATCTGACCCCTGCATATTTGAATCCTGTACCAAATAAGGGGTCAAGAATATTCTGCACTGTGAAACATTTACGTTCATTTTACCCGACCTTTTCAACTTTCCGGGCCCTTTGGTAGAGGCTGTTTTCACCAAATTCGTTCTCAGACATAAACAACTTAATTTGTCCTCAGTCAAACACCAGTGAAGAGAATTGAGTTATGCTGGAGGCTTATTTATCATATGAAATCTCTTGCCACCAGCACCTGAGTTGAGCAGTTGTATTGTTAATAATAACTTAGACATAATAGCTCAATACGCAGAATTGAGCATTGATACTTTTTCTCCCAACCTGCAAATTACTGCATTACACAACTCACATGGTGTCTCTCTAATTTTTTTTTATGATCAGATTTTTTCCCTTCTTTGCTACGTGTGTGCTCTGCTACCACTGACACAGGCAGGGATTCGCGAGGTTTGACTCTGATGCTTCAGCTTTTAAACATGCCGTTGATGAAAATTTTTTTTGATTGCACAGTAATAGAAACTCTCTGCTGCCTCCTTTTCAAATGCTGGCTACTGCTGGTAATAACATGACAACACTCAAAATTCAGTGATTACTTGAAAATTACAGGTTTGGATGATAACTCCGTTTCACTCAAGGATGTCACATACTGTAATGATCTAAAAAAGGATGGCTTTTGTGAGTGGGCCAGCGTTCTTAATTTTCCCACTTACTTTGCACCTGCCTCTAAACAATTGGGCTTTGCAGGGTAAATGACGTGCACATGCCTGGCAGCATCCTCTCACCAACACCAAGGATTCACATTTGGAAAACCACTACTCTTAAAATCATGAGCTTCTGTAGCTTTCGTGAAGGATTTATTGAGGCTGAGAACCACTGAGCAGTACCCGATGGGATAGACAGGACACTGCAGAGCAGACAGCTCAAGTCAGGGTTGGGTGCAGCCTGTTGGTGGCAGGAATAACTCTCCCTCATCCCTGTGACACAGGGTGCGAAAGAAATTAAAGGGTCACAGTCTCCTTTGCCTCCCTACTAAATCTTCCTTTAGATGCATATAGGCCTATGGAGCTTATTGCTTTACCATCATGTCATAAAGCTTCTTTCTGTCTTTTATTTGTCACCTTTGTCTGGTAGATTTTAGGGAGGGCTAATTTTATTTATTTATTTTTATCTGTAAGTCCCAATAGAAGTGGAAATAACATAATAATTTCTAAGATATAATTTAGCCTGTAATAAAGATGGGCAACCTATGCCTTAAGAGCAGATGCCTTAATGACTTCAGTAAAGACCATTTACTTGTGTTTGCAGGGCAGGTTTCTTCTCTCTCTGTCATTAGCCAAAACTGAAACAAAGATAAGAGACACTGGGTTATTGCCTATTTTCATACTGCAGTGGTGCAAGCTATGGAATTCAGTCATTTATTAGATGCATATTAAATATGCATGACAGTAAAAAGAGAACATTGAACATGAATGTAAAGCACTCTCATACACTAAATACTCTTGTAACTAAAGAAGTACTGGGGTTGGTGTCCACAGGCTCAACCACTGACTCTATCATCGACTTGCTGAGTCACATGAATACTTCTGCATCTCTCTTTCTCCCATTACGGAAAGGAAAATGAAGATTTACTGGAAGAGCTGCAGGAGCTTCAATACATCCTTCAACCCCAATTTCCACTGCCCTCCCCCTATCCTGGCGACTGGCACGTCCTCGGTGCAGCTCCAGCAGTGGGCCTTGGGCTGCTGCCTCATGCCTGGGGGCTCCTGGAGCAGGACGGCTGGGTGCTCACAGGACCACCCAGGTCTCCCCGGCTGCAGGTCTCTGCACCTATCCCACCCCACGAGTCAGTCTGCAGGAGTGAGCGTGCCCCACCGCAGGGCCTACAAAGGCAAGGGAGGGCGACTCCTGCGCCTCCTGATGTGGCCACAGCTGTGCTCACCTTCACATCAGGGCTGTAATGTCTTCATTCGGTTTGACACATCCTGGTCAAAGGAGAAACCCAAAATGAAGAAGTCTAAGGCCAGTTCTTTCAGTGCCTTTCCCCTGAAAATTTTGTCCAAAAATCAACATGTTTCTGTGGACTCTCAATTTTTGACAAACTCACACTTTCAGTTGATCATTTCGCAATCAACGTTACTCAGAGCCTCCAAGAAGCAAGCCCAGCTTTGCATCACCAACACACCAGGCCGTTAATTTTGCATTTTAATTGACCACAGGAGCAGTCCCCTTCACTGTCGTAATTTACATATGCAGAAGAGTTAATGAATACAGAGGGATTGCGTGGAATTTCTTGCCTTTATGCTTTCTTTTATTTTTTAGCACCTTCGGATCCGTCCTCTCTAGTCCTTCCTGGCACACTGTAAAGAACGGCTGCTACTTCCCACATATGCTCTCCAGTACTTTGGGGATTTACAGCTGTGATGGAAAGCAATCTTAAATGGAGTTGGACCGAAGGGAAGGGCGTATCATGTCTAATTGGAAAAGCATACCCATATATTTAGAGCAGACAAAGAGGGGACAAACCCCACCTATCTGTGGTAAGTGAAGACTAAATTAAACAGAAAAGGGGAGGGGGGGAAGAGAGAGAAAGGAAGAAAAGAAAGAAAAGGAAAAAACCCAAACTTTAACTTTGGTCTCCATCAAGCCAGCAGCTCTAGGAACACTTGACTTCCATCTGTGCCAGAAATGTGCTGCACCTTCTGCCTCACTGTTAGTATTTTTCATTCTAGAAAAAATTAACAACACCAAAACCAAAACAAAACCCCCTCTTGCTTTCTCAGCTCAGCTTCAAGGAATGGGATCCAGACAAACCGCTGGAGGGAAGGAAGGCTTTTGGATTCTGCATTTTATTTTATTAGGTGTAAGTGAGTTATTTTGATTATGTTGGCAAGAAGTAGGAAAAAAACTCCTTATGGCAGCAGCTCTGTCCCCTCTCTACCCACTTCTCCTTGCACATGTGCACTCCCAGCACCCACTGCCACAGAAGTTGGCCAGCAAAGGCTCACAGAGGCAAGCCTACACCCGTGCCTCTGCACTTTGTGATGTTTGACTGCTTAGGTGGAAGACAGAAAAGCCTTTTTTTTCCTCCTTTTTTAATTGAGGCACGAAGGTAGGAAAAGGAAGGGGAGGAGAAAAAGTGTGCAAATCCCCCAAGTTCTTTTCTCCCCAGTTTGGGCATTGATCTCTGGGGTTTTCATATGAATGAATGGCATTCTTTTCAAGTGGCCTTGGAGCTCCATGTGTGTGGTGACAACGTGGCTACGCTGTGCTGTAGTGAAAATGATGGGCAGTATCTGCCAGCCACGGGGCCCCAGGGAAATCAGTGCTCCTTCCTGACATCGGAGACCTGCCACTGGGCAGGCAGTGGGGAGCTGGGCATCCTGGACTTTATTCTTCCAGCTGTCACTAAAGTTTTGTGTGAACCTTGAGTCATTTAACTTCTCTGCTCATCAGTTTCCCTGATGACTCTTCACCTACCAGAGAAAACAGGGAAACTGGAGAGCTGCTATCCTTACACTGCCAGGAAGGACCCAATGCATGCAGCAGAGTTCAAGTAATTTAAAGTCTAATTTTTGCAAAGATCTCAAAGATTGGCCTCATGGAAGGGTGATCTTCTATCTGAATGCCTGTGTGCATGCATATGTCTGTATCAAAGGATAATCAGAATGGGAAGTTATTAATATGAATGTAAAAGCCAAGATCAGAGGCAAATATCCTTACCAAGCTGAATGCCAGAAACACTAAACAAAGGAAGCAAAGAGTGGTGCATTATCTCCCCAGTCCAAAGGGGATCCAGAGTAAGGGAAGATGGGAGCTGTGGTGCTGCTTAGTTGGGAATTTTAGCTTCAATTTTCGGTGGGTTTTTTTTAACGTAGTTTTAGAAGCATTTACTACTTACGTGCTTGAGACAGCTCTTAATTCTTCTCTTCCCTGGTGTGGAATCACCTGCTATGCAGATCTCACGTCTACAACACCTCTCTCCTTTGCCTGATGGTAGCTGAGGAAGCAGAGGAGGAGGACAAAACGTTTTTTCTCCATAGTGAAGCTAAAAGAAATAAAATTTCAGATCGGAATTTATCAACATCTGACTTCCTTCTTGGCACCACAGAGGCAATGTAGATGGCTTTGAGACCTTGCAGAGAGCCAGAGGCACCGTGTAGCACCACTTTCCCTCCCTGACAGAGATCCTGTCCTCGGTACAAACATTGGGAGAGGAGCACAAAACTCGAGCCTAGATTGGGTGTGGAAAAACACAGCTTAAAGAATTCTTCCCATGGCACCCTCCATAGGTTCTCAGACTCACAT